GCACGAAGGGCAGCTGCTGCTGCCGGGGCTGCCTGGAGAGGCCCAGGAGGAGGAACTCGGACACGCGCGACTGGTTGGTCCCGCTCATCGGCCAGGGAGCCTGAGTCTAGAAACAGACGGGGAAGGGTCAGTTCCAAAACTTGGGAAGTGACGGTTGTGAGGGGCAGGGAAGATCGCACAGGAGGGCCACGTGGCATAGGGGAGGGCTAGAATTTCGCTCTCAGCGACTGGCCTTGGGGTGCCCATCCCTTCATTAGCCAAGTGCAGTCGTTTCCTTAGAGACAGATGCACCCTACCTCCGGGAGGACACCCACATCTGTGGCAGTGGTCTGCCTGTCAGTTCTTCGTGCTGTTTGAACTTGCTGCCACTACCACGCGTTTTTTTAAAGTGCTATGAGACAGTACGGGTATAAGAAGTTTGGTTTTAATTTGCTGTACGGTGGGCTGGCAGGTGTCGTGGTGGTGAAGGCGGCTGGATCCCACACGCCAACACTGTGGTTCGTGTCCCCAGACTCAGTGGCTTGAAAACACACTGAGTGTGTATGCGCGCATGCCCGGAATCCGAGGGGAGAGTAGAGACAGGACTGTGGTATGGCTGCCCTTGGGGGATGATTTCTTACTCTCCCTCCAGCAAGCAAATGTGCCCGATAGCAGAAATGTTAAAAGACAAAAGCAAAAGGCAAAAAGACTGGCATGCAAGGGTCTAGACAGAGTGCGGGTGTCGGCAACATCAGTGCTGCCTTCGGGAGGCACCTGCTTCACCCGCTGTCCCTGCGTCGAATTCGCAGTTAAAACGGGAATGACCCAGGGGTAGGGCAGAGACTCAGCCCGTGTGCATTCCGCCTAGTCCGGATCGCCGACCGCACGGTGGGACAGGTGCTGCTCAGGACAGCGGTGGTGAGGACGGGCTGTGGCCACGCCTCCGTCTAAAGGTGAGCAGAGCCCCTCGGAGGCATTGTTCCCCACACGCAGTTCCAAGGAAGTCCCGCAGATCGACTCTTACCCAGAACCACAGCCCTCACTGTCACCAGACGTCCTTCCTGGGCTCGCTTCACTTCCCAGACCTGGCCCAGGTGACGGTCAGAGGGAGGTGGGCTCAGCACTGGCGTTTTCAGGCTGAGCTGCAGGAGGAAGAGCTGGGGACACAGGCTCGCTCTCCGTGTGGGAAGGGCCTTTGGGAGACTCCTTGGTCACGAGGGCCACGTTCCCTGAGAGCCTCGTTAGAGTCAGCAGAGACCTCCCTGGGCGCTTCTGAGTCCAGGACTGATAAAGACCTGCCACCCCAGTTATGCAAGCTCTGCTTCGGGACTCGCAGCTCCGAACATGATGTAATCTCGGCGTAACCACCAGTCACAGCCTCTGCTAAAGCATGCTCACTGTCCTGTGCCTCTCCCCACCCAAGCTGGGATGGCGTCTTGTTAGGAAGTGTAGTGACACTACATAAGGAGTAAGAGAATAACCTGGATTTCCCAAAACCTCTACTCCATTTCCAAGTCTGCCACTACTAGTCATGACTTTGGGAAAACCACCAGTCCCCACTGAATGGCGGCGTCACCGTCTGTAGTGGGGGGATAACAATTACCGTGTAGAGCTCAGAGGACTAAACGAGGTAACTGAGGCTCAACATCTAATGACCCCAACCTCATCAGTGCCCTGGGCTAGAGCCACACCTACGAGGTCGAGGCTACAGCTATTAATCATATTTACATCCTTCTTCTCTGCTGAAGCATCGGTACTCTGGATAAATAACATTTAGAAACAGTATTACATGTTTATCCTCATGCAAACATCAATCATCATTTTTACTAGGGGCTGGGTAACAAGTCTTTGCTTATATATTTTAATTTTGGGGTAGGAACCGCTTGTCAAGAATTTTCTCCTTGGGGGACCAGCAGTTAGCATAATGGCTGTGTCACCGGACTCCCACGTAGTCAACCACGGTTCGCGTCCCGGACCCAGCGGCTTAAGCTCACGCTGGGCGCGTGTGCGTGCATGCCCAAGATCCTGAGAGGAGAATGGAGGAGAAGGGATTGCGGCATGGCCATCCCCCCCGGGGAGTGATTTCTCGCTTTCTATCTCTCTGTCTCTCTCTGTCTGGCGAGCGCGCGTGCCCTATAGCAAAAACCTCTCCAAAAAAAAAAAAGAATTTTCTCCTTGGGGCCGGCAGGTGGCATGATAGTTAAAGACACTGGACTCCCACATGGCCAACCATGGTTCAAGTCCTGGACCTGGTGGCTTGCTTTCTCACTTTCCTTCTCTCTTTCTCTGTCTCTCTCTGATCAAACTGGAAAATAATAATAATAAATTTTTTTTAAAAAAAAGAATTTTCCCCTGTAGGTTTTCTGAAGGCAAGATCTGGCTTTAAGGTGCCCATAAAGCATTTGATCTTACGCATCGTAAAGTTCACTCTCCTGGGTTGATAACATCAAAGTTACTCTTAAAAACAACACATCTCCAAGGCCAGCAGGTGGCATGGTGGTTAAGGTACTGGACACTCCCATATGACTGACCATGGTTCAAGTCCTGGACCTGGTAGCTTGCTTTCTCACTTTCTCTCTTTCTGTCTCTCTCTGTCAAATTAAAAATAAAATGAATGAATAAATGAAATTTAATAAATAATTTAAAAAAAAAACACACATCTCCAGGGCTGGCAGGTGGCATGGTGGTCAAGGTGCTGGACTCCCACATGGCAGACCACAGTTTGTGTCCTAGGTCTGGCAGCTTGCTTTCTCACTCTCACTCTCCCTCTCTCTGTCTCTGTCTCTCTCTGATCAAATTGAAGAAGAATAATAAATAAAAATTTAAATAAATAATTATCTTTTTTTCCCACATTTTATTGATTCACAGAATACCTTAAACTAAAAATATGGACAAAGCTGGAATCTAGTTATAAGTGCACTGTGATTTTCTTCTGAAACATCTTTTAAATTAATTTACATTCATTCCCTGAGCATCGTCACAGCATACAAAATGTGATTTCCCATCCAGAATATACTGCATAGTGGCTTAATCATACATATTTTCATCAATAATTTTCAATTTCTAGTTTCATATACATATACATATGTGTGCGTTCTCACCCTCTGCCATTTCCCACCCTCCTCCCGCACTTTCTCAGGTGTCTTCGGTTGTTTTCCTTTCCTTTATTGATTCACAAAATTTCTTAAATAATCTAACTACTTTCAGTAGCAAGTTCAGCTGCTATCTACATATCTGTGAACGCATGTCTGACTTTAGGCGTGAAACTCAGAGTAGAATGAGTACACTATAAGGTAGCACCTAGCTGATGCTATACAGCTCACAACGGTCATTAATTATGTATTTTTACTATATTTTTTAATTTCAAGAAAAGCAGATTTAGCTTTAATAACTCAAAGAAATGCTAAGGAAATATGCTTAAAACTTAAAACCAGGAAACAGGTTGGGATTCTGTTCAAATAGTAGGTACATGAACCTATCAGCAGCTCAAGATGGGAAAAAAATCCTTAAATCCAGAAAACAAAGCCTAGAAGAAAATCAGCAGTATTTTATTCAAAAGTCATAAAATGCTATTTCACTAGTTCAGTCTCATGTACTTAATCTATCTTCTGTTATGGTCCGAACTACTTGTTTAAATTCTGGACCATAATATTCAACTCCAGACTTGTTCCTACCATTAAGTTGGCCATTTTCTTAGTTGTTTTTGAACTCTTATTTCTGTGCGTCTGTATTTAGCTTTCCTGGTATAGCACTCCCTTCGAAACTTCTTAAAGTGTTGAAGGAACTGGGCTGGTCTGGTGCTGGTAAATTCTTTCAGGTTTTGTTTATCTGAGAATGTCCTTGTCTTTTCTTCCCATATGAAGGATAAACTTGCCGGGTATAGTATTCAAGGTTGAAATAGTTTTTCCCTTAACATTTTGAATATATTTTCCTATTCTTTCCTGACTCGCATTGTTTCCGATGAGAGGTCTGTTGTTAGCCTGATGGGATATCCTTTGTAGGAAACTTGATGCTTCTCCCTTGCCAAACTCAGTATCTTGTCTTTGTCTGTGGTTTTGGTGAATCTGGCTATAATGTGTCTTGGAGAAGATCTTCTTGGGTTGATTCTATTTGGGGTCCTTTGTATTTTTGGGGATTGGATCTTTGAATGCCTCTCTAGGTTTGGAAAGTTTTCTTCCAGGATTTCATGGAATAGATTATCAATGCCCTTATGAGTCTCTTCACCTTCTGGGATACTAATTGTCTGGATATTGGGGTGTTTAATGGTATCTAGTGTTTTTCATATATTCTCATTTTGGGGGGCTATTTTCTCAGTCTTCATGGTGAATTTTTCTAGGCCAGTGATTCTGTCTTCTACATCTGAAATACAATCCTCTGTATGACCTAGTTTACTTTCAATATTTTCAAAGGAGGTTTTGATTTTCTATATTACAGCCTTTCTCTCAAACAGCTCCGTTTGATTCTTTTTCATTTATTTTGTGTATTTCCTCTTTCAGATCATGCAAGAACTTCATCCTCTGGAACACGTTGGCTCTCTTCTGCATCTTCTGCAGTTCATTGTCTCTCTTCTCTTGCATCTCTGTTAGCTTTGTCACTGCGAATATTCTAAATTCTTTTTCTGACATTTCTGTGAGTTCCATTGTACTATCCGTGGATGAAGAGGAGTTATTCTTTCCCTTGGAGGAGAGGTATTTTCTTACTTTCTCATGTTTCTTGTGCCCCTGCTTTGATTTCTGGTCATCTGTTGGGTTGTGCGTTTCTTCCTAATTCTTGAAGTTCAATCTGAGCATTCAGAGGCATGCTGGAGGAGGTGATCTGCAATTTCTCTTCCATTCCATTTTTCACTCTTTGTGCATAAGATTTAGTGGGAATTGAGGGATATTCTGAACCTAATAGTAATCAGATGTTTGAATACAATACTGTTCACTTAGACCTGTCTAGATGCTCAGTGAATGGAGACTGGGCAGCCAAGGGATGAAGTTAAAAAGTAAAACAAAAGAGAAGAAGAGGAAAGAAGAAAAATAAAATAAAAAGAAAGAAAAAAGACAATAAAAATTTTATATTTTAATTATAAAAGACAAAACATTAAAACTGTGTAGCACACATGCA